ACATCTTTCTTTCGTGGTTTGTGGATTTTAAATATTGACGCTCCTATAAAAATAATATTACCACCAGTTGCGATTAAATTAGTTTAAAACAAATATAATGCAAAGGTAAATAAATATACCTCCTCTTCACGAACAAGCCTCGCACCATGGTCTCCATAGAGATGAAGTAAGGAGGTGTCAAATGGGCCTCCTAGATAACTATCTACAAGGGCATTAGTAGCAAGTTCTTCTTAGGCTTCAGGGGCTTCTTGATCTGGGGACAGGCGGCCTTTTAAAGTAAATGCCTGAGACAGACGACTATGGGAGGTATAACCAGATGGCTGTGAACCTCGGTCGTGTAAACCACCAAACGAGGTATGATCGACTTGTGATTTCGGGCCTTGTCCCGAGATTTTTCACGTTGTACAAATGCGTGTTGGGAAACACGACTGAGTCTAATTCTATCCTAGTTATTTTTCAGCCATTGCACGTGTAATAAAACCAAAAAGTCACATAAAAAATTAAACGAAATGCATGCAACCAAACACAAATCTGAAGATACATCTTTGAAAATAGTACAAAGAAAATTTGGAGATGCATCTCTAGATGAACATACAATTTTAAACAATGAAAGAAACCCCATTGCTTCCATAACCTCCAACCAAATGGTAATACGTGTTTATATCAGCTACATATTTAAATTGTATTACTATCTAATACAACTTAAACAACCTATGTCACCTAAAATAACATTCAAAACACACAAAAAAAGAATGAAATTAGAAACTTACCAAATTAGACATGTGGATGAGAAGCTTGAATGGAGTGAGAAACTTTGCAGCAAAGGAAATAAAATGGACTGAGTGAACTTGATGAAACTTGCTCAAATAGGGCTTGGAAATGGTTTGCAGCAAAAGTTGGAGTTTTTTTAATGACTTTTCAGAAAATAAAGGAGGAAGGGGGAAGGGTCTAATGCGGGTTTATGAATAAAATGTGTTTTGAAATGCATCTTCGCAAAACTCCCTGAATTTCAAATTAATGGTTTTTACAAAGATGCATCTCCAGACACGCCCTATTGTTGATACGAAGATGCATCTCTGAATTAAATGTTGGCAAAATAAGGGTAACTCACCCAATTACGCTGAACGGTGTGTAAAAAAAAGTGTTTTCAGACATGCATCTCCGAACGCTAGGGGTATTTATGAATTTTCACTGTGGTGAAGAAGCACCTCATGAGGTTTAAAGAGTAACCCCCAAAATGATGGCAAATGAGGACTTGTTCTCTTTATGGTTAGGTAAACGAGATTTCACTATTTTTTTTTATAAAAAAGGCATTACTTTATCCATTTCATAGATGCTAGTTCAACACGGTGAAAAGTCACAAAAGCTCTTAGATTTTAGAGATGCATCTCTAAATGCACTCAAACTACACACCCTCAATGTTTTTTTTAAATGAGTCACCCCATGATGACCAAAAATATTTTTGGGGATGCATCTCCATATCTATATTTAGGTTAATCCAGAGGTGCATATTCATAATAACCCTTATTTTAAAACTCAATGAATTTTACCAAGATACATCTTCAGAATTTACCCTGTTAGCTCAAACCACAAACCAGTTGTACCAAATGCAGAAACTTGAAGAAAAATATAAATTAACATCAAAATACATAACATTACATAGATAATCATTAACATTGCATATATAATCGTTAACATAAATTAACATTACATTTTATTAGGACGTTGCAACATCATTAGAATATATTTGGTCGATCTTGCAATTGTTGCATCCACTTCAATCGAACCATTTGTTTCGTGACGGTGAAATGTACTTCATATAACCCTTAAATCTCCATTCGTCTTCAACTCAAACTTAATGAACTGATTATTCCCTTCATTGTCAATCGAGGCAGAATAGTACTCAAGCTTCACAAATCTTTAACTATCAGAGTATTATAGGAATTCTCCAATATAGATTTCAGATCTACAAGAGAGGTGTATGATCTTAAATTTAAGTGAGGTCTTCGTGCAGTTGAAGTAGACAAATGCGACATGTCAATATATGTTCATTCTGGCGTGATGTGTTTTTTTAAACAACATGAGATGAGAGATCCCATGTTTATACAAATTTTAGATCATTATGAACCTTAAAAACTGTATCCCTATCTCAGAGGACATTTCAGATATACATATTTAGACACACCCTATTTGTTTTTCAAACATAAGGGTTTCTACATAGATGTATCTTCTAAATACCCCATGTTTGATATTTTTGGTAGTTAAAGTGGGGTTAATCTGGAAGTACATATGCGGACTCTCCCTATTGTTCATATATAACCTATTTTATGTTGTTTTATGCAGGGACAAAATTGTTAAAAGGTTGAAAAATAAAGTTTTCTTAAAATTGACCTAATTGTTATACAATCAATGTTGAATATATACACTACATATGTCTCAAATGGTGTCAACAATATATACAAAAACAGAAGTCACCATCTAAACACATAGTTCGATAAAAACTAAAAAGTATCAAAATATGTGTCATCACCTAAATCTATTTCTAATGGTGATGCCGCCTTTGAATTTTCCTTATTTAATTCTCTTTCAATCTCACTCAACTTGGTGAACTCTTCTATCCTTTCCTAGAAAGTGATATGACAAAGTTTCAACATCTTTTGTGAAATGTGTCTTCCACTCTAATTATGTCTTTGGTATAAGACACCCCAGTTTAAATAAACTTGAACAAAATATTGTGTTTTTGGAAGCCACCCAATACACATGATGCGCGTGGATGGATTTTGAGGTGTCTTACACCGAAGTGAATTTTTTATTCGAGAAACCATATATTGTCAAATCAATGCACACCTTATTATAAGCACTAACTATAAGATGACTCATTACAAGGAAGCGCATCCATTTTTTCACCGGTTTCGGACTGCTAACACAAGTAACAAGAGCATCGTGATTTCATCGAAATGCTTTTTTCCCGTATAACGATGTGTATGATTTCATATGTTCCTTCAACTCTTGGAGAAGTTAGAGGACAAACGTGTGATTCTGCTCTCCTTTACCGAGCAAATATGAAACAGTTCGAAAACTGCAGTTGTCGTCAACTCTAACGTTTACAATTTGCTCAATGTATTTGTGCATGAAAACGACATCCCTTCAATGAAGATGATTTTCGGTAACAGTGATGAGGGAGATGGTTTGATAATGTTAACACCATTGAAAACAATTTTTTTGAAATTTAGGAGTCGGAGAATTCAAAAAACGTGAGTCAACATGTTGAAAGGACATTCACTTTTTCTCACTCTAATGTCATCCTGTTTCAACTTTTGAATAGGTTGTTGGTACGCGCCACTTCTTTCGCATCTCATTGTTACAAATGTTTGTCTTCAGTCAAAACCATTATCATACCTTCCAATTACGACAATAAACCCAAGCTTGGCTGCCTTCGTGCGGATCCATTGAAGAATATGTTCACACTTAACAAACTCCTATTTAGTAGTATATTGTGCACGAACATCTACTTCGGTAACAGCCGATTTAACATCATCATCGACATTACCCTGTTTAACATCATCATCAACTTCATCTGGTTTAACATGCACGCACACAATAACTTTAAGAAAAGTATCACGGTGCACCATATCTATAGCCAACCATAACATAAAAACAAATTTAATATTCAAATTCAACTTCCGAACAATTCTGGAAATGCTTATCTAAAACACGTGCAACCTTATCCGAAGATGCATCTCTGGACTCCACGTTTATTTTTACACATAAAAATCATATTAATGTAAGCAATGTGGAAGAAAAAAAATGTTCTTTTATCTTAAATTGTAACTTTTTTTGCTCCTTTTGATGTGATAAGGCACAAAAATGTTGTTTTGAAGAGCAAAATTTGATAGAGAATGGAGGGAGATTTTTTAAGGGTTTTGATACACTAGTAGTGTTTGATAATGAGAATAACATGAAAGGGTGGTGTTTTATTAGATTTTCCGTTTGACATTTTTGGAGATTCATCTCCAGAATTGTCGTTGATTTGATTAAACTACCTTAATCAACATAAAACAACATACAATGGTGATTCCGAAAATACATCTCCAGATTTGATATGCATTTTCGGAAATGTCACTAATTTGATTATGGAGATTTTGGATATACATCTTTGGATTAGTTCTGACATAAGCGGAATGTAATTCACTTGCAACTGTGTTTCGGGATGCATTTCTATAATATGAGAAGGACAATCGAATTTTCAATATGTTCACCCTTATCCCATATGGAAATGGAAAAAGTAACGTTCGTTTGAAAATAGAGCCACCGATTGTAATGGGAGAATGTGGTCAACCTTGTTGAGTTAAACCAACAGAAGAAAAGAGAAGAAAAAAAGAAAAAAAAAACTTGCATCACACTAATTTTTAATCAAAACCGAATAACCAACAAAACTAAGTTTTAGAATTTTTTACATGTGTTCAAAATTAGTTTTTTTAAACAAAATTTGTATGTTTAAATTTTTTACATGTTATCTTATGAAATCTGTTAGTCTATAGATTTTTCGGTTTCACCAATAGCCAACAAACCTCTCCTTCAAAAGATTTATCACTTCTGCATGGCTAAGACTAGATTCAAATCTAGAATCTCAGGTAAAACTAGAAGAGAACCTTACCTTCTCTCTTGGGTTATTTTGCAAAATACAGATTGATCAAATGGAAAAGCAACTTTTTGGCTTTTGAACAAATCAATATTTGAAATTCAAAAATTAGTTTTTTTAAACACAATTGTAACACCAAAACCATGGTTTAGATCAAAGATACAACATTCAAGGTAGAAAGGCAAGAGAAAAAACAAAATCATAACTAAAAACTAAAATTGCTACTATTTTTGCAGTCCAAGAAAGTAAAGTACATTGTAAATTTTGTAATATTATCCAGTAAAGGGGAAAGCATAATTCTGTTAAAGCATGGAATTTTAACTCAAGGAAATACCAGAACTAACATGGGTTTTTTACCCTACTTCTTAATGGGTTTCTTCTTTGAATTCACAATTGGTGATGGTTGTGGCTTTGGGTGCTTTTCTACCTCACTTGGATCCAACCACTTGAGAGGATGGCGGTTGAAAAATGGCCAATTTGGAACAGTCACCAATGTGGTGAGAACCACACCACCAGCATATATGAGGATCATCGTCTGAAAAGAAGCCGTAAGGTATCCCGTTCCAAATGCAATCACAGCAAAAGCAAGCAACATTATCTGCATTAGCTTCTCTGCTAGGTTTTGCCCTTGCCAATCCATCTAATGAAGCAAAAAGTTAAGGAAAAACACTGAGTAACCAACCCTAGAAGTCAATGCAGCAACAACATTAACAACAACCATCACCATTAAAACTCCGCTACTAAGTTTTAATCTAACCATTTCTATAAAATATAAAAAACTACAACAAAATCAGATGAAAAGGGCTATATATCATTCTCCTAAGTAATAACATAAGAATCTTTCATATCTCTACTTTTAATATTTTATAGTCTATTTATTAATTTCCAAGCCAAACATCAGAAAAAAAAGTGAGGATGATTGATTTCTGATTGAAAACAACTGTGACATTGCATAGACTTAAAACATACAACAAAATGCCACAATAGTCTCACAACCTAAAATTCATAACAGGATCGATTAGATTCATACGATCTTCAACAAATACGCCTGTAACATGAAATCCCTAATTCCCAATATAACCAACACAAAAAATTGAAGCTAAATAAAACCCCTAAATTTTGAAAATGGGGTTTGTTGACGAAGAAATTGAAAATAGAAGAGAAAGAAAAGAGAGAAGTGTGTTACCTTTGGAAGAGAGAAACGTGAAGTGGGGTGGAGAAGGTGACTTGTATTGATCAAATGCAGAAAATTTTATGCGAGTAGCGAGTACCTTGTGGGTTATGGTAAAAGAGGTTTTATGCTTCTACGAGATGAAGTTCTTGTCTTGGTGACGTGGTCGCACCAATAATAATAAGAGAAAAAATGGATAATATAGTATTCTTTAGACTTTTGGTCCAATCAATATAAATTATTTCTAAAATTCTATTATAATAAGGGGAATAAATGATTTTTTTTGGGTTGAAAAATAAAATACATACATAATAAAATGCCATAGAAAATAATAATAATAATAATTTAATGTTGGATGTTAGAAAAAATTTAATTTTTATTTTAATTATTCTCTCAGTTTTAAAATTATTGTTATTTTTTAATGTAGTGATAATTGCTATTTTTTTCAATTGTGTCATATAATTATTACTCTATACACTATTTTCAACACATTAATAAGACCAATTTAGTAAAAGTGTAATATTTTATGACAATATCATTGTATTCCTTAATCTGTGTGCAAAAACTTTAAACGGCAGTGATTTTTTAAAACGGATGTAGTATTAATAAAGTAATATCAACGGATGATGGTGATGAACTGACAGTGTAAGACTTTTTACACTGAAAGCGTATAGTAATTAATCTCTAATAAGAATTTAATTGAAATGCAATGACATAAAAGATAAAAGAATTTTACATTGTCAATTAATCATAGCGGTTGAATGTTAGAAAAAAATTGACTTTTATAATAATAATAATAATAATTTGATTTTTCTAAGGAGTGGATGATGTATTTGTTGTTAGTATAATAGTAAAGATCTTTCATATGATAGGTAATAGGTAAAGCCAGAGGTCTTTAGAATTTTGATTTGTAAAAAACCATGATCAGACCTAGATTTGAGGCAAGTATATATAGCTCTTAACCAACTAAGACGTGCAAAGTCTTAAGATTATTTTTTCCGGACATTATTAATATGGTTGTGCTCCATCAGGGATCCTGATAGATGACTCATTTATGAAAATGTATCATAACGTGGTGACTTTGCCGATGTGACAAGTGTCAGATATAACTTGTTGAGTTCCATTTAAGATTCTTAGTGGTTTCCATGTAACACCTCGTTCCCAAAATAAAATAAAACAATCAAATAAAACACATATCAGAGTTTCTCTCCCAAACGGGATGCCACAATATACATCAAAATTTCCACAAATATTTTTCCAAATAATTTAACTGAATGTTTCCATAAAATTGCAGCGGAAAAAGATATGGTCTGTCATAACACAAAATATCATATACATACATCATCCATATCCATCATCGTCATCATATATACAATAACGACCATCTGCCCAAAATACATAACATCATCACCTATCAACATCAAACATCTCACAAAATATCGGATACGCCACGGGGGCACACATATCAAAAATACACAATAATACTCCCAAAAACGCCCCGGTGTTACGTATCAGAGCAGTCCTACGGAGACAGCACAATCCAACTAGCTAGACACCTGAATTGTCTGTACTTCCGAAGAAGCACAGACCACAACAGCAACAAAGGGGTGATAATTACGATTAAATAATAATGGTATAGTAGTACATGAAATAAAAGGCAGAAATCAATAATAATACTATTTCATATACATATCATCCGGACTCGCGGTCCCCACCGTCAACCACAACACCCAATCACGCAACAAATGGACTCACACGATTCTTAACATGCGGTACCGACTCACAATCACGATGGGTACCGGGCCATCAACCCTCAACACAGGAGCACATATCAACGATAGGCAACTGGCCATCAACCCTCCACTCGGGGAGCACACCACACTGATGGGCAACTGGCCATCAACCCTCCACAATGGGAGCACCACAACAATACTGATGGACACCTGGCCATCACCCTCCACAACGGGAGCACATCTCCGATGGACACCTGGCCATCACCCTCCACAATGGGAGCACCTCATCGACATCGATGGACACATGGCCATCACCCTCCTCACCGGGAGCACAACACAACAACGATGGACAACTGGACATCATCCTCCTCACAGGGAGCACACCAACAATACTGATGATCACTGGGCCATCACCCTCTTCTCCGGGAGCACACAAACAATACTGATGGTCATTGGGCCATCACCCTCCTCTCCGGGAGCACAAAAACAATACCGATGGTCACTGGGCCATCACCCTCCTCTCCGGGAGCACACAACCATATTCACACACAACATACATCTAGCACACCAAGTGCAAACCGATCCTATTGATCCACCCCTCATACAGTATATATATACCCGACGCACAAGGCGTACCGATCCCACAGATCCATTCACATCATAAAATACATACATAACAAGCACACACAGTGCGTCGATCCCACAGATCCGCTCACCACATAACTTATCACATATAATGCACACAAGGCATGTCGGTCCTACTGACCCAAATACATCACATAACAGCACAAAATTGCAACGCATAATAAGCGTATCGATCCTCACGGATCCACTCATCACAACACACCAACAAAACGCACTCAAGGCGCCACGATCATACTGATCCTCACATCTCACACACAGCACACACACGGTGCACATACCATCACGTACATATCCACATAGGTTCATATTTAACGCATAATTCAACGATTATGCCACTTGCGATAAACGCCGGCCAAACAGCCCTACAACCACCAACATACGCTCGCATCAGCTCTCAGGGAAGCCTCCCATCACACATGACCAACGAGGGTCCAAGTCCACAGAGGAACAACACAAGACAGCAACAAAAACACAAACTGCTGTCGGGCTCGTTGGCACATTTGCCCGGCGAAGCCCCGCAGCGAACACTCGCTGCCATTCGCCTAGCGAAGCTAGACAGAAGCTTCTGCCAGCACTCGCTGGCTAGTTTGCCTGGCGAAGCCTGGCGAAGGCTCGCCCCTCATTCGCCCAGCGAATACCTGCGTACTCAGAAAAATTCTGCGCTGCAGAGTCACCTCCCACACCGATTTACCCGATTAAATTGAAAACCCACAACCAACCACATACTGCAACTTAGTTACGGGGTCTATTCCCGATTCTATCCGACAAAACGCATCATCTGCTTAAATTACCGACTTCCGGCATAACTCCGAAACTACTCAAAAACCCCAAATTCATTCAACCCAATATTCTCAGCACATGCAAACGAATTTAACATAATCTAACAACTTAATCTCAGCAATAATTACATGCATTCATCATCAAACAATAATAATCAATGGGGTTGGGGATTTCTCCCCGTTTCTACCGATTTCATGCAAAAACCAATTAAGCATAAAATCCCCCCCCCCCCCCCCTCTTACCTCAAATTTGTGTTGTTGATGAAAGAGCTTCACAATTCGTAGCCTTGATGATCCTATTGCTTCAGCTTCAATTCTTGCTCACTCTTTCTCCTCCACAAGCGTGCATGTGTTCTTCCTTCAACCGTGTTCTTCTTTCCCTTTTTTTTTGTCACAAAAATGCCAACAATACCCCTCATTCCAATTAAATCCACTTTTTATTTCCAAATAATATAATTATCATAATTAATCCTTTTAATTCCATAAATCTATTTAAATTATAATTTTACTCATAAAATTAATATTAGTAATAAAAATGATAATAATTAATAATAATATCACATTACTATTAAATATCATATTTTTATCACTGTATACCAATATCATGAGTTCTTGATCCTTCAAAATAATCCTCAAACGCATTCTCAAATAAAATAATCCTGAAAACCAAAAATAATTAAAATGGGTGTTACATTCCACGTGAAAATAAGTAACACGGTGGGCCAAGATCATTGATATCGTGTAAGTTTGGAATTAAATATTTAAGACAATCCATAACTCTAAATCATGAGGTCTGTAAAGGCGAAGTTGTTTAAGAAAAGACATGATAATTCAACACACTCGGACATAAATCGTGTAAAGGAGGTAGTTTGGGAGAAGACAGTATGTTTCATGTCTCTAAGTAAAAGGCCTATAAAGCGGATGGTAATGTTTCCTATTGATGATATTACTTAGGTAACTCGGTAATCATGGTCGTGGGTTTGGTAATGCTTTAAGTTTCCTATCTAACGGTTCCATATGAAAGTTGTTAGCATTCCATGTCAAGTTAAACATATTAAATCAATTATCTTGATAAGGATATTCAATCTAAGCCCTTGATTGTGCACATGCTTGGAATATAGTTGTTGGTTTTCTAAATAAATCGTGACAAATGTTGGCGCTAAAATCCAAACGGGTATCTTTTTTCGCATATATATTCAAGATAAATTGTTTAAACATCGTTATCGTTTCTTTGTTGCTCAAATCTTGCTTTGTCAATATCATCATCCCTATAGCATTCTCACTATCTTCCTACCACATCTTAGACATGTAT